TTTTTTACATACTTTCAAATGTTAAAAAACTTATATATACGTTTGGATCGTTTACGGGTTAATCTGTCGAACCAGCCTTTGCTGGCCTTAAATTCACTAACAGCAGCCCTCATTCCTGGCATTTTCTTTACAAGATCCGCGTGCAACTGCCTTGCTTTCTGGCAAATTATCCCCTCCAAAACACTATCTCCCACTAATTGTTTCTCGTTGACCCACACCAGCAACAACAGCTCCACATCCTCGATTGTTTGAGACCTCTGTTTCGTTAGCATGTTTACACCTTTCGGAATATCAGCTTCCTTGATTTCTGCTTTCTTCAACAGGATGGAACTGATTGTTGATGTACATTTCCCATACATCCTGGCCAGCTCCGCCACACATACGCCACTTTCATATTTTGTGATAGCTTCTTGAATTCTATCGTGTTTCTCACCTTCTTTACAAAAGGGCTGGCACTCTGAACTTTCTTTGGCCCCCATGATGGCTTATTTCACAGTTGCAATCAATAAACAAGTACCAAAAACAATGGATGAAAGTGGTGAGTATTCCTAACCCAGCGAGAGAGATGTACAGATCGAGTGTGATACGCGTGAGGAAGCGTGTCACCGGTGGGTGGATGTGTTTCATACCAATGATTTCCAAGCGGATGGCCGAAATCCGGGGGGAAATTTCACTGAAAAAAGTCCTTGATTTCCGAATTCGCTGATTTCCGCACCAGCCGATATCCGGGGGTCCACTGTAGCTAAAATAGGATTCAAATTTGGTGAAATCACCGAAGCGTAAATTACATCCTGACTGCTAAATTTGTGTCTGCGTAGTTACATAAGATTTTCATAAAATTTAGGATTTTTTGTATCACTACCTTCAGGAAAAGATTCTCTGCCATTTTAGATTTTTTTTTTTTTTTGAGTGGACAGTGAAAGGGTTAATTAAATTAGATAGCTGATTGTAGACTCATATACTGCATGCTTTGACTACACATTTTACTGTTTGAAACTTTATATCATGACTCAGTATGGTTGAGCCTGATAAAAATAAGAAAGATAACATTATGTACACTGTTGCAACTCTTTTGGAGCCTAGTTCCTAGGCTTTTTGTGTATCCATATGCTCTTGCGCTACAGTCGACAGGATGGATATAGGAGCACCAAAAAGTAGCAGTTCCAGCAGCAAAAATCTAAGATCTGTGATGTCTCTCCACTTTCTTCCCTTTGGTGACTGCTTCCCTCTTTTACTTTATCTCCTTAATTGAAAATTAATCATGACACTCAAGAGGAGTTTGGTACTGTAAAACAATAAAAGATATGTACAGTACTGAATAAATAAGATTTGGTAAAATGAGTGTGAAAGCTATACGAATACAGTGGACCCTCGCCTAACGATATTAATCCGTTCCTGAGAGCTCAACGTTAAGCGAAATTATTGTTAGCTGAATTAATTTTCCCCATTAGAAATAATGGGAATCAAATTAATCCGTTCCTGACACCCCAAAGTATGAAAAAAAAAAAAATTACCACATGAAATATTAATTTTAATACACACAAACTGAAGAAGACATGTACAATTACATGACACTTACCTTTATTGAAGATCTGGTGATGATTGATGGGTTGGGAGGAGGGGAGAGTGTGGACGGTGTTAATGTTCAGAAGGGGAATCCCCTTCCATTAGGACTTGAGGTGTCAAATCCTTTTCTGGGGTTACTTCCCTTCTTCTTTTACTGCCATTAGTCCCAGCTTGAGAGTCACTGAACCTCTGTTGCATAACATATCTGTCCATAGAGGCCTGTACCTCCCGTTCCTTTATGACATTCCTAAAGTGTTTCACAACATTGTCAGTGTAATAGTCACCAGCATGGCTTGCAATAGCTGTGTGAGGGTGATTTTCATCAAAAAAGGTTTGCACTTTTAATCACATTGCACACATTTCCTTAATCTTTGAAGTAGGCAACTTCCTCAATTTCTCTATCCCCTCCTCCGGAGCAGTTTCCTCAGGTCTGGCCTCTTGCTGTTGAAGATGATCTTGCAGCTCATCAGTGGTTAGTTCTTCATTGTCCTCCTCCACCAACTCTTCCACATCCTCCCCACTAACCTCCAACTCCAAGGACTTCCCCAATGCCACAATTGATTCCACAACTGGCATAGGCTTCTCAGGGTTAGCCTCAAATCCTTCAAAATCCCTTTTGTCTACACATTCTGGCCACAGTTTCTTCCAAGCAGAGTTCAAGGTCCTCTTAGTCACCCATCCATCCATCAGACTACCTCATAGGTACTTACCCAAATACGCTATTCCTAGCTCCAACCAACCCCATTGAAGTACGCTCATCATAAACACCCTTAAAAACAAGGCTGGAGACATAAACAACTTGCCTGCTTTTATGTACAAAAAAACTTCTCAAGTACTGTCACCAATTATTGCAACGCTCTTTAACAAATCCATTGAATCATCTACCTTCCCAACAATCCTCAAAATAGCGAGGGGTCACTCCGATCCATAAAGGAGGTGACCAAGCTGGCTTGAATAACTATAGACCAATATCTAACTTACCACTGCTCTCTAAAATCTTTGAAAAATTAATTCATGGACGGATCTATTCCTACCTCGTTTCACACAACATATTAAACCCTTGTCAGTTTGGATTCAGGAATAATAAAAGCACAAATGATGCTATCATACACATGCTAGAACTAATATATATCGCACTTGAAAAGAAAAGTCCTGCTGGGCATTTTCATTGATTTACGTAAAGCTTCGATACAATCGACCATGAACTGCTGTACTCCAGATTAATGCACTATGGTATCAGAGGCCACTCCCTCAACTACCTAAAGTCATACCTTAGTAACAGAACTCAATATGTGTATGCAAATGATGCAAACTCTTCCACCCAACCAATCACAGTAGGAGTCCCACAAGGAAGCGTCCTTGGACCACTCCTCTTTCTCATCTACATCAATGATCTACCGAATGCATCACAGCTATTCAAACCCATATTATTTGCAGATGACACTACATATGTCTTTTCCCACCCAAACACAGTCATACTAGCAAACACAGTCAATGCTGAATTACAGAAAATATCTGCCTGGATGATGACTAACAAACTTACCCTGAACACTGATAAAACCTATTTCATTCAGTTTGGAAACAAAGCTGCAAATGATCCAATTAACATAACGTTAAATGGATCATCAGTCACAAGACTCACAGAGGGAAAATTCCTAGGTATCCACCTTGATAGTAGCCGTAAGTTCCGGACACACATACAACAAATCACCAAGAAAATCTCCAAGACTGCAGGCATACTATCAAAGATAAGGTACTACATTCCACAATCAGCTCTCCTGGCACTGTACCATTCACTCATATACCCTTATCTTACATATGGAATTTATGCATGGAGATCAACAACATCCAATCAACTAAAACCCCTAATAACCCAGCAAAAGGCAGCAGTAAGAATAATGATAAATTCCCATTCCCACCAGCATACTCCACCAATTTTCAGAAGTCTGAATCTGCTCACTGTTAAGAAGATCCATACTTATTCATGTGCCTACTACATACACAGAACAATACACGCAAATATAAACCCCCCACTCAAACTTCTCCTCACCAACCTAAACAGGACACATGACCACAACACAAGACACAGATCTCTTTTTGATATACATACCTCGTGTCCATATCACACTGTGTAAAAACTCTATGCACATAAAGAGCCCCAAAATATGGAATTCATTACCAGAAGATGTTGAAGTAACCCAGTCTGAAAATCAATTTAAGACTCTTCTCAAAAGCCACTTAATCACCCTAGACTAAATGCTAAACACTCAGTACACACTTACTCACCTATGTATTCCCACATCATAACTGAAACAATCACTTTGAACATTTTATCCATTGTTGACAGGAATATAATTGAATCATTGTTTTCACAAAAAGCATTTTCGAATATAAATGTATCCTTGTATTATACAAATTTTGATTCATTTATAATTAATATTCTACTGTACAACTATGAAATAATTACTATCCTACTGTACAACTATGATATACTCCTTAATGTTAAGTTGGCCCATAATGCCTAGGCATAATAGAGGCTCTCTTTGCATTGCAACCCACTATTGTAAATACAAAATCTCTATGTACTGTTTGCAAAGACATAAAATAAATAAATAAAATAAAGAAATAAGGAATTGGAGCTCCCCAGCCTCTTTGAATTGACTTTGATTTACTCACACTCTTGTGTTCTGTATATAGCCCTTATGGGTTTAACTTTCCTCCAGTTAAATAAAGCAAATAAATATTGAATAAAATGGTGTGGTTACTCATCTTAGCCAGTTATCTGATTGAGTCGCACGACTACAGACTCTGTATAGAGAGGATTAGTATGATGTAGTTTGATAAATACGTAGGGTAGTATATATGATGTCGGTAGTGAGACTGTGAGCTAAAGTGATTCAAATCTTTGTTTATATACATTAGGGAGACTGTGTATGTGCTGGTCACTGAGTCAACTGCAAATAAAGGAGTTGATCAGACTGTCTAATATACGTAATCTGTTTGAACAAAGTTACATGTCCCTGTACAGTATACATTACTTAAATGTTGTTATAGTCGTTTTAAGAGATTATCTTTCAGACTTCTTGTTTTAAATAACCCTACTCTTCTGTTTGGTATGTGTGTTATGTACAGTACATCATAAAGTAAATTACTATATTAGAACAGTAGTTTTAGAAATGTGTATACAACACTTTACAGGATTTTGTTGCATCTTTGGCTGATTCTGGTATTAATTTTTCGGTTGTGCTTTTTCCTCCAACCCATTCCAATTCTTTCTCTTGTTCTCACCCCCCACAAATGCTGTAGATCCACCAGATCATTACCTCTTGGATATTGTATATGTGATTATGTGATTTTTATAGGTAAATTCGGGAATGTGTTGCTGGTACCAATAACATCACGTTTACTCACCTTGGTGCATTTTGTTCCAACAGTGACTATGAAGACCGATTGGCCCTGTACAGTCAAAGTATATGGACCTGTCAGTGCACTGGCAAGTCTGGTCTCACTCACCAGGAGGCTTGGACAAGTGAGGCCAAGGTTCGTGTACTTCTTAGCTCTTCATTCCCTACACCTCTTCTGCCACCTATTCTCCGCACTCTCCACCACAGTAAGTTTAATTGTCGAGTGTCATTTGATTTTGTATATTACTGTACTTCCATTGGCCAATTTTGCCATAGTTGCATTATTTTTATCACCCTTTCTTGTCTGTTAGTTTAAAGAGCTTTTTGGATAAGCTTCGTGTGAAGCTTATATACAGAGTTTACGAAGCAATTTACTATTTCAAAGTGATAAGTACTGTACGTGACCATAGGTAAAACAAGGGTGATTGGCTGTCTCGTGACTGATTTAGTTAGTTACACAGGGAATACAGGATAATTTATCAACCATTTTTTGCTGATATTGTTTTTGCTGTTACAGTCTTGAGGAACCTTTGATGCATTTTATTCCGTTTTTTGCAGTAAACCCCTCGATATAAAGAAACTTGGTCAAATATACCTTTAAAATAATTGGTAAAATCTAGCGGGTAAATTGGACATCTGACTCCTTTATTTCCAGTGTTAACTGCAGTACAACTAAATTGTGTATTCAGTACTGTATTAGGAATGCTTCTTTTGCTATTTTTTTGTTATCATCACTTAACGGACTCATGAATAATTTCCCACTTTGTATTAGTCTGTTATATCAAAGGTTACTTCTAGATTTGGACATTTAATTTGTATATCACAAGTGCTACTGAAACCCAAATGAACAACATTGTATCCTTTGTGATATCCGCTGCCTCAGATACTTCACTGAAGGTCAGTAAATTTTTCAAGCAAGAATAGCCCCTTGTGAATCTGGGCTCAAGCTCCTTAATCTAATTATGTTCAGGGTGGCTTCTTATATCATCTGTTATTGAATCAGATAATTAGGCATTCCTGAAAGGAGACCTGTAAGTGGGTGCCTGAATTTTCTTCATTTTTCTTGCTTCATCTCTTTATTTTACTCATAACACAAGAAGGCCTTTTTGGATTAGCTTCAAATTTTCAATGCGTGTGCCGGTACCCTATTGTCAGAGTAATAGAACACATTCAGCTTCCTAGAATGGCTCCAGTAACTTCCAAAACATAATCATCTGATGGGCTTTGATTAAGGCTTTAATGTTGATAACTTGATAATGCATCTTCTGAACAGCTTCAAACTTAATGTGAATTTTAGGATAGTGATATGAGATAAGAGTACAGTAGAACCCCCTTATCCATGGATTTGCTATCCACAGTTTACTGTGGCCCAAAAATAACCCTTAATTTTGCTTAATAATGGCCCCAAAGCACAAAAGTAGTGATGCTGGCAGTTCTTGAAAGCCTAAGAGAAGCCATGAAGTGCTTTCCTTCAGTGAAAAAGTGCTAATTATTTTGCATAATCTATCAATTAAACTTTATCATAGGTATGTATGTAAACAAAAAGTGACTTATGCATAGGGTTCGCTACTAGCCACGGTTTCAGGTATCCATGGTAGGTCATGGAACGTATCCCCAGTGGATACAGGGGTCCTACTGTGTACCTCAAGTGTTTGGCTTCAAAGCTGGTGTTTTTTTAGCAGAGGGTTTGAATTAGTTTTGGGCTGTGTGTTCTAATTTGCAATTTTTATTGAAGAAAGTTGGATATTAGTTTCCATGTGATAATTCATGAATGCCTCTTCTAATTTGTTTCAGATTTTCAATGCAACTTATAACTGCATTAGAAACTTATGCTGCACTCAGTACTATTGCTATCATGTGCACTGTGGTACAGGGAACTGGAATTATGCAATATGGGGATAGCTTTCCTTGAGCACAGAGATTGAAATACATCTAGCTTCCCAACTATTGAGGTCAAACTTTGTGGGTAGTAGTTTGATGGTATGGACTTATCTCCTGGTTTGAAGATACAAATTATGTTAGCCATCTTTCACGTCTTTGGCATGACACTTATTTGCATTGATATTCTATATTGATTTTATTGGGCTATCCTAGGTTAAATCTACATAATTTGGTTTCAGCTGAATTCCACTGTTAGTATTATAAAATTGTAATAAATTTGGGACAAACAAGAAATTTTCATGTTTCCTGGCAGGGAAGCTGGTGGTGGCATGACAGGTCCTGGTTGTTGTCCTGGTTGCTGTATGCTACTGAGACACTGTACCATGATGTACTACATGGATCTGCCTGGTCCTAGATTTTTTATCACATGCTTGAGGTGGTAGGAGACAAAACAGTTGAACCGAGACCTAAAATGGTGGCATGTATCATATTTGAAGAAGAAAAAAAATAGATATGAAGTGTATGTCAGACAAACACTTGCCATTTGTGTTGGGCATAAAAAAGTAGTACTGTACATTAGTATGCAGAATGTTATTCTCTTTGTAATATAAAACATTTTAGTATGCAGTTTTGGCTATTATGAACACTGGTACCAAACTTTTGAGCAAAGGTGCAATTTTAGAAATGGAAAAACTTGAACACACTTTTATAAAATTGCGAGATTTTGAAAAACTAGTTTTTGCTTTACAAGTGATAGCTAGAGTGTATATTTTGTTTGCAAAATATTATAATTACTGCCGAACATTTTCTGTATATAATAATTGTGTTTAATAGATCTTGACTTGTAAACAAGCTTCTTTTAATTTGATTTTTCATTATAATAGTAATAAAGATATTTATTTTTAAAGCAAAAGCTCCTCAGTTGTTATGAATAGACATGTGAATATGCATTACTTGTTAGCTCTGTGGTCTTTTTTTTTTATTAAACTTAACTTTTTATTAAACTTTCACATCACACTTTTTTAATTTTCTCTTGTTCACAGGTACACTGCCACTAGATCAGCTAGTGGAGGCTGCTTCAACTCTTTGCTATACTCGGTTTCATCATGGTGAAGAACTAACACTCTTGGGCCCGCAGCCGTAAGTTTTTTGTATTGTACTTGATAAGACAGCAGTTGCTTTCCTTCACCTTCATGTACACTTATACTTATGCTCAGGCTGCTTAACTGGATTATAGTTAGACAATTTCTTTAGTGAAGAAAAAAAATTATCAGTAAGAATCATCAGTAAAAATTTAAAAAGGTTATTGGTAAAAGTGGTCAGTTAAAACAAATTATTCTTGATGGTTTTGAGTAATTCACTCATTCTGGAAAGTTAAATTGAAGGAGGAGAGAATGAAATAGGTCAGACAACTCTGGGAATTAACCTAATTGGTAGATCTCTAAAAATAATTTTGTATAAATAACCCTGCTACATAGAGTGCTAGAGATGATTGTGCTGTTTATATTCATGGTTCTCAGCTTGCAGCCTTGTCTATTTTTTCTCAGTAATATAGCAGTCTCAGCAACCCCTCTTCTGCTCCTTGAACTATGTCCTTTCATATGATAGTATCATCTGAATTCATCACTCAGATTTTATTCACTGTAATAGTTTGCTTTAACACCTATGTTTTACTATTTCCAGATTAATCTTTCATGATGAATTTGCTTTAGCTCCTCTTTAACCCTTTCATTGTCCATAGCCCCAAAATTAAAAGTGCTCAATGTCCACATTTAATAAAATTCTTCTGAAATGGTTGAGAATCTTTTTCTGAAGGTAATGACATGAAAAGTATTAAATTTTATGGAAAATTTATGGAATTAGGCAGGTGCAAAGTTAGTGGTCAGGGTGCAGTTTATGTATCAGGATTTTTCCAAGTGAAGTCCCATTTTAAGCCAATTTCATTGCTCAATTTGACCAAGTTCTTAAGAGCTCTATAGGCCTTCGTTCTGTTCATAGAGCATAAGAAACCACAATTTCAACTATCAGAACTATCCTGTAAAGTGCAGAGAATTTGGTAATTGCCAATTTTACACAAAATTAAATTTCAACTATCAGAACTATCCTGTAAAGTGCAGAGAATTGGTAATTGCCAATTTTACACAAAATTTAAAAAATCCAATTTAAAAACAGTCCAAAATAAACACTGTAGAGATTCCAGACATGTAAATATTTCCTCTCCAATATTATATTTAACCTTCCATTTTGAATTCATCATCACAAAAAATTGAAGATAAAATATAACCAAGAATGATTGGTCATGATTTACGGTGTCCCAGTAATTGAATCAGAGACCTAGTAAAATGTCAAAACAGACTGAGGGGTTTAGTGGGGCCTTAAATATTTTCCCTACTTTGAGGCCGATGTCAAACTGCTTCCCATCCTGGAACTAACCGAAGTCGTATCTGTTTCAGTAGTGTATCTTCCATCTATCAAATGATGCCAATAAAACCATAAAATCCATGCTAGACAATACCTTAAACTAAACACAAGGTCATTTTAACTTTTCCCATCATGCACTACATGAGGTAGGATTTTTTTTATGTTGTGCTAACTCATCGCATAGACCTATTGTCTCATATCTAGGCAAAAATTTACCTCTCTCAGCTTACCTGAGTGAGTTGAGGTCAAGACGTTGTTCTGCATGAGGTGCGGTGGTGTCAGTAATGTAGATCTATGTGACAGACAGTGAAAGGGTTAAAATGAAACGAATGAAGTCAAGTTATGTTTTATTCCTGAATGTTAAATATTTTGTAACTCATGGTAACTTAATAGATTTGAATTATAGGAATTCACTGATTGAAAACTTAAATTTTGCTAGCTGGTATTTCTGTGCTCTCCAAGTGTTTTATCCTCTCTTCTGTGCTGATTTATATGAAAGAAAGAAAGTTGAAACTGAACATAGATAAGAGTAAGGTGATGAGGGTATCAAATGAATTAGGTAAAGAAAAAATGGTTATCACAATGGGGGGAGGGAGTATTGAAGAAATGAATGTTTTCAGATATTTGAGAATAGATTTGTCAGCAGATGGGTTTATGAAGAATGAAGTTAACCATACAAATGATGAAGGAAAAAAGGTGAGTGGTGCATTGAGGTGTCTGTGGAGACATAAAAAGTTATCCATGGAGGCAAAGAAGGGAATGTATGAGGGTGTAGTGGTACCAGCACTCTTAAATGGGTGTGAAGCATGAGTTGTGAATGCTGCAGCTGGAGGCAGTGGAGATAATGTGTCTAAGGGCAATAATTTTGTGAGGCCTGGTCTCAGACCAAGCTGCGGGGGCGTTGACCCCCGAATCCCTCTCCAGGTAAACATTGGGTGTTTCCCACCAAGGCAGGGTGGCCAGAAAAAGAAAAACTTTCATCATTCACTCCAGCACTGTCTTGCCAGAGGCATGCTTACACTATAGTTATAAAACTGAAACATTAACACCCCTCCTTCAGAGTGCCGGCACTGTACTTCCCATTTCCAGGAATCAAGTCCGGCCTGCCGGTTTCCCTGAATCCCTTCATAAATGTTACCTTGCTTACACCAACAGCACGTCAAGTCCTATAAACCATTTGTCTCCATTTGCTTCTATCTAACACGCTCGCACACGCTTTCTGGAAGTCCAATCCTTGCACACAAAACCTCCTTTACCCCCTCCCTCCAACCATTCCTAGGCTCAGCCCTACCCCGCCTTTCCTCTGCTACAGATTTATACACTCTCAGCCATTCTGTTTCGTTCCATCATCTCTACATGTCCAAACCATCTCAATAACCCCTCCTCAGCCCTCTGGATAATAGTTTTGGTAATCCCACACCTAATCTCCGAACTACACATTCTGTGCATTATATTCACACCACACATTGCTCTTAGACATAACATCTCCACTGCCTCCAGCTTTCTCCTTGTTGCAACATTCACTGCTCATGCCTCACACCTATACAAGAGCATTGGTATAACTATACTCTCATACATTCCTCTCTCTGCTTTCATAGATAAAGTTCTTTGTCTCCACAGACTCCTGAGTGCACCACTCACCTTTTCCCCTCATCAATTCTATGATTCACCTTGTCCTTCATAGACCCATCTGCTGACACGTCCACTCCCAAATATCTGAACCACATTCACCTCAATACTCTCTGCCTCCAATCTGATATCCAATCTTCCATTACCTAAGTTTATTTGTTATCCTCATCACCTTACTCTTTCCTATATTCACGTTTAATTTCCTTCTTTTACATACCCTACCAAACTCGTCAACTAACCTCCGCAACTTCTCTTCAGAATCTCCCAAAAGCACAGTGTCATCAGCAAAGAGCAACTGTGACAACTCCCACTTTGTGTTAGATTCTTTATCTTTTAACCCCACAACTCTTGCCAACACCTGAGCACTCACTTCTCTTACAAGTCCATCTATAAATATATTGAACAACCATGGTGACATCACGCATACCTGTCTAAAGCCTGCTTATACTGGAAAATAATCTCCCTCTCCCCTACATACTCTACCCTGAGCCTCACTATCCTCACTGTCACTGCTTTCAATAACCTACCTCCTCTTCCATACATTTGCAACATCTGCCACATGGCCTCCCTATCCACCCTATCATATGCCTTTTCCAAATCCATAAATGCCACAAAAACCTCTTTACCCTTATCTAAATACTGTTGATCTATATATTTCACTGCAAACACTTGATCTACACACCCCCTACCCTTCCTCAAGCTTCTTTGTTCATCTGCTATCCTGCTCTCTCTCTTACTCTTAATTCTTTCAATAATAACTCTACCATACACTTTACCAGGTGTACTCAACAGACTTATTCACCTTTAATTTTTACTCTTTCTTTTGTCCCCTTTGCCTTTATACATGGAACTATGCATGCTCTCTGCCAATCCCTAGGTACCTTACCCTCTTCCATACATTTATTAAATAAAAACACTAACCACTCCAAAACTATATCCCCACTTGCTTTTTACATTTCTATCTTTATCCTATCAATCCCAGCTGCCTTACCCCCCTTCATTCTATTCACTGCCCCATGCACTATCCCCATACTCACAACTGGTTCTTGCTTTTAACATTTCTTTTTCCCATCAATCCCAGCTGCTTTACCCCCTTTCATTCTACTCACTGCCCCACTCACTTTCCCCACACTCATAACTGGTCCTTACTCACCCCTATAAGATGTTATTCCTCCTTGCCCTATACACGAAATCACAGCTTCCCTATCTTCGTCAACATTTAACAATTCCTCAAAATATTCCCTCAATCTTCCCGATACCTCTAACTCTCCATTTAATAACTCTCCTCTCCTATTTGTAACTAAGAAATCCATTCTTTCCCTAGGCTTTCTCATCTTATTAATCTCACTCCAAAACTTTTTCTGATTTTCAATAAAATTTGTTGATAACATCTCCCCCACTCTCTCATTTGCTCTCTTTTTACATTGCTTCACCACTCTTTAACTTCTCTCTCTCTCTCTCCATATACTCCTCCCTCCTTGCATTACTTCTGCTTCGTAAAAACCTCTCATATGCTAACTTTTTCTCTTACTACTCTCTTTACATCATCATTCTGCCAGTCGCTCTTCTTCCCTCTTGCACCCACTTTCTTTTAACCCT